TCCTGCCTATCCAGGGGTTTCGTCCCCTCGCCCGCACACGTGGTGTGGATCACCGACCACATAGCTTCTAGGAGTCAAGAAGGCAGGCGCCAAACGGCTCACCGCTTCTGGAGCAAACGACCCACGTCTCACCTCACGAGAATTTAATGCATTTTTGGGACGCATCGCGTCGAGCCCTAACACGGGGCCAGCGAATCGATAGTCCGAACAGGAACAGGAACAGGAACAGCCGTATTAAAATAAGGACCCAAAAAGGGACCATAATTTTGACAACCACCCATTTAAGGAGAGCTCGACATGGGGTTTCATCGAGCCTGCTCTCGAAGATCCAATTCCGGAGAGTCAGCTCGGAATTTTAGGGCGCTTGGGGACCGGAGCTCGATTTAGAAGACCCTAAAACCTATAAACCTTGCAGGGGTTTTTAGTCGGGGTTTAGGGAGATGGCGGCAGGATCTCTGTGGGCTGGTGGTGCGGACCCCCAAAAGCCGGCGAGCAGTAAGGGTTCAGGGGCCGAGGGGTCTTTATCGGACCGACTCCTGGGCCACACCCCTGTTTAGGGTTTAGGGTGTAGGGTTTAGGGTTTAGGGTTGAGGCTTTTTTACATCCTTGGTACACTGCAAATCCTTACGCTGCATGAGTTCGGGCCCAGGGGTTATCTGGCTCGTGGGATTTTGGCGCTGGGGCCCGATGTCGCCATGTGACGAATTTAGCGTTCAGGGCCCATCCTTACCAAACACGCCCAATGCACACTCACCGAGATACCTCCGCTCGCGACACGGGGGCTTTATGGTCCTGCCTGATCCAGAGCCTCACTGCAACCAAACTTGTGCTACTCCTAGGAACTGGGTGATAGGACCCCTGTACGACATGCCCCGTAAACATCAGTACTGAAGACCTTCGTCTCGACTCCCAGTGTCTCAGGCACATTGGCCGTGGAGACTCCAACATCTCGAAACACGGTCACGCTTCTTATACAGTAGGTTTGTGTATCGCGCGATATTCACAGGAATGATATAGTGACTATAGTGTTCCCTAAACCCTTAAGCCGTTGGGCATTGTGCTGGGCCACCTTGGTCCACGGCAGTCTCGTCTCCGGCCACTGGAAGGCTGCCTGCCGCCGGGCCTGTCGAAGGCTTTTAGGTTTTCTCAGAGACTCCAATATCCCTTAATTAAGGAATATACCTTAAATTATAGTCGGATCCTTAATATGATTTAAGGTATGTTCCTTAATTAAGGGATATTGGAGCCTCTGGGTTAGGGGTTCGTCTAGCAAGACGTTGCAAGGTCCAGGTGAGGTTGGATAAAGGTTTCCAGAATGAGAAGGAAGGAAAGGCTACTGATGCTTTATGCAAAGCTGAGGAGGTCGAAGAGCGAGCTGTCCTGAAGGAAGCGTCCCGAATTCGATTTTCCGATGGTCATGTCCAACAGCTTGCGCTTGCAGTTTTCTGCCCTGAGAGTTCCATGTCGTATGGTGGGCTAAAACTCCGGGATGCAAGAAAGACTTGCTGCCGATCCCCTGGGAGGAAATTCGCTGCTCAGATGGTGCAGCCGTACCGCGTTTGTCTGAGGCGATGGCAGTTCTTGTATGTCAAGGAATTAATTAAGCTACCCAGAGAGCCCAACACCCCGTAATTTAAGGAATATAGCTTAAACTATAATATTAAGGCCCCTATAAATCCTTAACTAAGGGTACTGGGCTCTCTGGGCAACCAACATCATCATCATCACGGCAGCCATGATGCTGCATTGCATCCCGCAGTGCTGTCTAAGCTGCCTTCGAACACATGCTGCACGATAGCGGAAGCTTCCGTACAAACCCTTTTTACACAGGCTTGATTGGAGCTCGCCCGGCCAAGTTCCCTCGCAGCGATACAAAACCCTAAACCTTAAACCCTAAAGCCATGTGCCAAGCCCTTTGTAGGGCCCAAGCTTTGCTCCTCCACCACGGGCTGCGAAGACAGAAATCGCGTGGCAAAAGCTAGAGTATGAACCTTAGTTGATCAGGAGTGCGAGTGATTCAAAGACGTGGGGTAAGAGCTATAAGCGCCAGCATCTTCCTGCCAATGCTTGTTTGTCTCACCTACCAGAGCACTTTCAACAAGGAAGCGGGGTGAACGGCTGCAGAATTTCATGCCCCATGGTCGCCAAAGCCAGAGAAATCTCTCCCAGCCGGATCGAGGCCTACACACCTGCTCCAAGCAACAGGCGCGCCCCAAATGCTGAATGTTGTCCTGAGCCCTTGCGGAAAAAAAGGGGAACACCCCCTCCAAACAAAAACAACACGTAAGCTCTCCCCAAACTCCCAAAAAAAAACACCAAACCCTCCGATTCTGCTTAACCCTAAACCCGAAAACACCTCAAGACCCTAAAGTTCCCTAAAGCCACCCTGAGGTCCCAAGCCCTTTCTTTTGAGCAGGGGCCTGCAGCGCTAAATTCGGAAAATTGGCCCTAAATCCAAAACCGCTTCCTGCGACCCAGATGCGATCTTCTGTGCATAGGAGGCCAACCGGGAGAGATGGTGCTCCAGCCTCGGCGCCAGGGTCGGAGCCGAAACAGAGGTTCAGGGTTTAGGGGTTTAGGGTTTCAGCACTCACAACTAGTCAAGCAGGCGAGGATCCAAGTACCCGAACGATTAGATCAGTGGCCACGGGTTTAGGGGCTTAGGGGTTTAGGGGTTTATGGTTTTGGGATGGTATAGTAATGGTATAGCGTGGTAATTGTAAAGAGTGGTGTGGCATAGTGTAGCATGGCATAGTGTACCATTGTATAGTATAATCTGGCACAGCATCGAATGCCATATTCTACTACTTAATATTAAATGGTATACTGTACTAAAGTAGTGAGTGTGTAGTAGGGTGCCGGTCTAGCCACACAAAACTCTGCGACCATATTGGCTATGTTTAGGTTTTTCGTGGCCTGGGGAGGACTAAGACTCTCACACTCGCACTGGGCAGGCAAGGCTTCGCGACATGACCAAAAAAACACAACACTTCAGGACTGTAGGACCACGTCCGGCACAAGTTTCTGCATTCCAACCAACCACCACCTTAATGAGGGGCTGTGGTACCTGCATCGACATTGGTCAAAATTCTGCACATAGGGGTGGAAATGCTGCCAGTCTGTCTCATCTTGAAGTTATCCACCGGGGAACCTCAAGTGCACAGAACCAGCACTCCACACCTCCTGCATCTGAGCTGCAACTCAGCCTGGCCCGTAGTGAGGCTGATCTGATCCTCTCAGGGCTTGGCCCTGGACCAACTTCCTTACTGCATAATTCGTTTTGCGTAGTTGGGATATGGTAAACATTCATGTACTGTGGGCATCTGTGGGCATCACAACGCATACAAAATCATCATCTTGATCCTCACGATGCAGCAGGTACTGCCGATGATGGCGGTGGTGGTGATTGTGAGGGTTGAGGAGACTAAAGGCATGCAGAAAAGGGTGGGGTGTACATTTCGGTAAGTCGAAACGACTAGAATCTCTAGATGAGTTTGGGTCAGCTGAGCAGTTGTAAGCCTAACAGGAACCTTTACAGTAACAAAAAGATTGTGATATCGTTTCAAAAGATTTTCTGTGCAGATTCGGACTTGAGCAAACCAGAAGGACCATCGCCATGGCCAGTCATGCACAGCGACAGCCTTCACGGATGCATGGTTTAAAACCCTCTTCTTTTTGGGAGAGCCGTTAAGACCCTAGAGCACGCCCTCATACCCTGCAGCCTCAATGCCCGCACAAGCCCTAAAACTTAAAGGTAAGACTCTGAAAGAAAACCCGAGCCGAAAACCCTAAAGCTCCCGGAGACCGAAAACGCTCGGCACCCGGATCGGTCCGTGCCGGCGCTGCCCTTGAGATGGTGCACCAGAAGCAGCCTCTGCCGCAAACACTTGGCGGCAGAAGCAGGGCATTTCGTACAAATTCAGGGTAATTACCTCTTACACGAGACCCTACATGCCAAACGGTCCTAAACCATGAAGCTTACAATGAGGATCTTATTAGGGATCTGCCCTCTGCAGTCTATGTTGGCATCCCTGCACTGTCTGACGTTTTCGCATATGGCTTAGAGGCTCCTTTCCAGTTCGCTCACCTTTTGGGTATGCTCAAAACCAGCGAAAGGATACCTAGTCCTCTACTAACCCTTTCCTCCTCAATCCTATACAGAGACCAGAATAAGCAGTGCTCTAGGAGCTCTGCCTTATACTTATAACTTAGCTTTGCTTTGTACCGTATGTATACCACTCACTGCAGCTCAGAGGCCTGAACTGCTGGTCTTGAGTTTGATCGCAGACATGCAGAGAACAAGAGGCTCTATGCTCTTTCCAAAGACGTGTGCATGGGCCCTGGATCCACAGCCTAAGGCCAAACTATGCCATCGATTAGTCCCTAAACCATAAACCCTAAACCCTAAACCCCAAACCCTTGCACCCAAGCCCCGAAACCCACGGCGCAAAAACTACAGCCTGAACCCTAAACCCTAAAAAGGCTGGAGATGCTCACAAACAGCTTACACATCACGACAGCAAGGAATGCCGATCGGTACAGTCCCACATCCATTCGTCAACGCTATACCAAGCCCTGCAACGCATCTCTCGGAAAAGCTGGACCAAGTCTGAACGCATCGTGACAAGGAGTCCAACCTGAGGCCATCCAACAAAGAGGAGCCCCCTGGGACGACGATATCCGCAGAACCGAGATGAGGCTCCTGGCCACCCAATGTCCCATCGTTGCGCAAGCTTCGAAACTCTCCAAGATACTGAATTTCGGGGGACTCAGGACGTGGAAGTGTTGAAATGGCGAGCAGGGTCGGCAGTGGGCAGGAATGTTTGAGAGCTGAAGCTGCGCACCCCCAGTCTTCAAGCCGACGGCAGCAAAGCAAAACAGCAGACAGGCTCCTTCTGGGAGTACGATGCCACGGTGCCTCGTGAGCGAGAGTTAAAGAACATACATAGTTGATGGCTGCATACTACTCGTTGGTCGTTTCGGCTAGCCCTCAATTGTTACAATAGGTTTGTGGGTACACCGGATAGATTTGTTAGTGTAACGTTAAGCTATCTTATGACTGTTCAGACAAGCATGTCGCTCGCACCACCGCGGCGGATGTTGCCGTTTACAAGGCCACGCGACCAGCATTTGGATGAACTTTTTTCCAGTCGTCTGGAAAGTACATAAAACCCAAAACTAACCAGGCGAAAGTTCACCGAACCTATGCATCTACATACTGTTGGAGCCTGTTCCGGATCCGGCAATACCACCCCGATGTTCTGAGGCTCCGACAACCTTGAAGATGCCTTCCCAGACAGCCCAATACCCCTTAATTAAGGAATATGGCTTAAATCAAAATGAAATTACAGGTGGGGAGTTTTGGGTATATAGGGCTTCTATAAGGCTTCTAGAAGGTATATAGACCTTCCATAGGGCTCCTAGAACGGTAATTACCTATATTAGACCATAATCGTAAGGCCCCTATAGGTTAAGCTATACTCCTTCGTTAAGGGGTATTCGGCTCTCTGGGGATCACCTTCGGTAGATTAGACCATGATCTTAAGGCCCCTATAGATTAAGCTATACTCCTTCGTTAAAGGGTCTTCGGCTCTCTGGGGATCTACAGCATCCTGAAGCTCCCAGCGGCGCGCAAAGGAAGGAGGCCTCCATCCTTACTAGGCCTCCTGGTGGAACACCCTAAACTGGTTCCCTGTTGGGGCTATATTTAAAACCATCACTTTTAATCCTTATTGGGCTGTATTATAAGGAAAATGTAAAATTGTGTCCAAGAAGGACCCAGTAAACTACTGGAACTTGCAGAGGAATCATGCTTTCGAGTCTTAAATCCCAAACCTATGACTGCACATAACAACTTTTTTATGTTAAAAGACCGCTCTGAATGGCAGTCGAGCCCTAAACCCTGAACCCTGAACCCTAAACCCTAAACCCCTAAATCGCCGCTCTCAGCATCGGACTCGTTCCCGAGCGCGGAGATCCGCCGCTGGTGGCGACGCCGGCCTCCAGGCGGAAGGGGAGTGGGTTTAGGGTTTAAGGGTTGAGGGTTTAGGGTTTGGGGCTTAGGGTTTTGGGCTTAGGGTTTAGGGTTCAGGGGTTAGGGTTGGGGCTTTCCACAAACATAATCATAAGGAAGGAAAAGTCAGAATATCTAACATGGCAGTATTCTACCCCGTGCTCCATTACATAATCTGAAGAATATAAACTGCTTGGCTCAACCAACCGAACTTGATAATAAGTGCGGTATTTAAACGTTGTGCCATTGTACGGGGCCTGAATCAGGGGCATGCACGAATCGAGCTGATTTCCTGACGGGGGTCGGTTGCTTTTCGAAGATGGACGGAAAAGACACTTTGGGCCCAGATTTTTAACCCTAAAGCCGTGAACCCTGCCATGCACCTGAAGCCCCACACCAATCTGCTGTAAGCACGGGTCGTCTTACTCGAAGGCTCGTGGCTCCATAGTTTCAGCCAGAAACACAAGTCTCCCATGCGAAGGCGCAAGCCCAAGGCTGTGAACTCTACAATATGGGGGGGGTTGATAAGTAGAAAAGGGTTTGGGGGGGGTATGCTATCTATGACAATGACAAGGAACCCGGAGGACAGGACTGGGATTGCATTATTTGCCAATTATCCAGGCTTCTCCATTCAACTCTGTCAGCCCCAAACCGAAGCCGGCAAGCAGTGGCAGTTGCAGCCCGGAGCCCCCAGCACAACTTTGTAAACTGCACTTACCAAGCCATGGAGAATATCAAGCATTCAATCCTAACAAGAAGCCTTAATCCAACAGAAAACCTCCAAACACCCAAACAACTGCACCCTAAAGAAGCAACTCTAAAACCCCAACAACCCCAAAACATCCCTAACTCAGTAACATTTGTAGAATCCTTCAAGCACCCCTACGGAAGACTCTTAAAGGAACCCTTATATTACGCCACAACGGCGTCCCGGGAGCACCTGAACGGAGGACGCGAGGCCTGCGTTGGAGGACCGGACCTGTCTGAAGCTTGAAGTGTTTTGGGCTCTTAACTCGGGTTTAGAGTTTAGGCTTTGGGTTCTTGGGTGTAGGGATGCGCGGTCTTGGTGCGGTGTGATTTAGACTTCTTTACAAAACACAAGTAACATCGAAAATTGAGGCAGTGTCTCGCAGTTTGCGGGGGCGACAAGCACCCGGGGGCAACCCGCCAGACAGGTTCAAGAACACGTAAATAAAGCATGCAACAAAGTCGCGAAGTGGGCCTGGCACGCTTTTCAGTAAGTGCCAACATATATCCCTGCCACATGAAGCCGCAACTTAACTCACAACTCAATATTATCATGGGCGCCCATCCTGAACCCTAACGGTTAGGCCTCAACCCTATGATCAGCCCTATCACCTCAATCCCCAACTCTCCACCCTAAATTTGAACGCCATCCCCCCACAACACTGAACCCTGTACCTGAAACTGACAGTAAAATCTCAACCCCAAACCCCTTATAGTAACCCTTGTATCATTATAGAACCATAAGACCCTGATAGTAACCCTTGTATTATAAAAGAACCCCCAAACTGCCCTTGTACAATTTTAAAACTAATATAAACCCTAAACCCTAAACCCTTGTGCTGTTATAACACTGCCTGCAAGATCTCATCCTCCCCACTCTCCTCCTCTGCCAATCGCCAGGCCCCACCATCCTCCCTGGGCTGCGATGGGGCTTTCGGATTACGTGCGGGTTTAGGGTTTAGGGCTGAGGTTTAGGGTTTAGGGTTTAAGGTTTAGGGCTAAGGTGTGAGTCAAGGATTTACAGCTTATAATGCTTCGGGGGAACTCGAAAGCATTGTCAAGGGTTCCTAGGTGCTTCAAGTGCTCAAACTTTGGGCTCCGGGGTGGCTTTAAGCGGAATCCTCACGAAACGTAGGGGCGGCCTCAGTAAAGATCCGAATCGTCAGGGGACTGATGATGCCTAACATAAAACACATAATGTATAATATACACTATTTCGGAATGACAGGCAGGGGCCATGCGAGTCAAGGGCTTTGCGTTGCATTACACAGGCTCGGGTTGTTGCTACAGCTTGCTGGGCTCAAGTATAAGCTGCCTAGGTTTCAGCTTTCCGATATTTCCAGCGGGCTAAGTTTCTTCAGGGAGGGTTTTAGGGACTTCAGCTGGGCAGAAGGTCTCTAAGGGTCGATCTACAGGTGATCTGGCGAGCACCCGTGTTTTTCCCCAAGCTAGCCAAAGCCTTAAAGACCCTAGACCTCGCAGCCCTTCTACACACGGTTTAGGGTTTAGGGTTTAGGGTTTAGGGTTTGCCATAAGAAGTGCATGTTGGATGGTTGGTCGGAATCGAGAAGGCCTCTATTAACAGTACCCGGGGTCGCTGTTCTCTCAGCATTCGCTCAGAAGCCCCGAGCCCTCTTGAACCAAGAAATGGCCAAAGCAAGACTTTATGGTAGTTCTCAAAATTAGGGTCGTTTTTTGGAACCCAAATGGGAAACGGCACCCTTATGAAAAGGACCCCGAAAGGAACCCTAATTTAGAGAACTACCCTTGTAGTGACAAGTAACCAGTAACAAGTAACCTAAACCCTAAACCCTAGTCCTTACTCGGCAAGGCTCGCTTCGGCTGGGGTGGCCCGGTCTGCATCTGCCTCCTGCACTGGAGCCTCCTCCTAGCGTCTGCGGAGGTTTGAGGGCTTATAGGGTTTAGGGTTTCAACTCGCAGGGCAGTAGGGCTTAAGGTTTAGAGGTGCTTGCCGATCACAAATCTCGGTTTAGGGTTTTAGGCTTTAGGGCCCCTGCATCCTAAACCCTGGCGTCTTCGGAGAGTCTTGGCTTTTCAGGTAGGGGTTGCTTCAGTTCAAGGGCTCCTTGAAAGGGATCCTTTAAACAGTTCAAGGTGTGAGGGGTGCAGGGTTTTGGGCTGCGGAACTTCGCCTCTCGCAACTCGCACAAGGCAGAAACCATCAGTTGAACGATTGGGAAATCAGGGAAAGCGACCAACCTTTGGAGCAGCTGTCACAGTTTGTAATATAGGGGCCTGAACAACTAGAGTAGGAGTTGGGGCTCCTTTAATACTACAATTGTGTTAAGTAAGGGACCCCAAGCAATCATATTGGTAATTCTTTAGGCTTTCTATTACACCTTCAACCCCTGTTGTAAGGAGCGGAGTGATCTGAACATTCCAGTTTGTCAAACGGTCCTTTCTTGCAATTTTGCGATTTGGGCCAAAACCCTCAACATCCCTCAACCCTAAACCCTATGGTTCGCGGCTTTGAGTTCTACTGTCCTACGACACTTAGGTGTCCCTCAAGGCCTACTGTACGCATCGTTAGACCTTCTGCTGAGCCTGCTGCGGAAAAAGCCCAAAAGGAATGCCGCTTCAAAGCCAAAAAGGCATCATGTAGGGGCCCTAATAATTAGAATAGGGTTTTAGGGCATATGATACTGTAATCCTAATAAGGAATCCCCAAAACGGTATTGGTAATCATTAAGGCCCCTATATTGACCCAAACCCCGCGACACGAAATCCTAGACTTTTGGGGCCCCTAAACCGGAACCTATCACATAGCGGGCCTTAACAACTAGAACAGGGGGAGGCCAGTATACTATAAGTATAATAAGGAACCCCCCCAAAACAGTGCTGGTAATTATTTAGGCCCCTACATTCAGCGCAAGAACCCTTGAAACCTTACCACTTCGCAACTGCGGGTCCCAAGGCCTTGTACCTGAATCTTATTTAAGTATATTATAGTGCATGTAGGTTCTTCACTTAAGACCTATCTTAGCTATATTATAGTACACTTACAAATAGGTTCTTAAGACCTATGCATTTGATTCTATTATGTGATATTAGTTATATTGGCGTTTTCTCCCGCCCGACTGCAAACTTTGCTAAGCTATGCCACGATGCCGGTCACGGGGGCCCGTCGAAGTCGTAGATTCTGATGGCCCTTATCCCTGAGCCCTAAACCTGGAATCTAGAATGAAGGAAGGGTTTAGGGTTTAGGGAAGGAAGGGTGGGAGCTCTGTGCCCGGGACCCTTTTCGGTACTGTGCTGGGTCTCTGGACCCTGAATTTCGTAAGCTCAGCTTGACCCCCGGAGCGTCAAGCCTTCAACCCTGACCCCTAAAGCCCCGACTCTCATGAAACGCCTCTACCCTGCAGAACTTATACAAACCCTTTTTAATGTCCCAAAAGCAAGCACTTTAAGATACCTGCAAGCGTGAAGATAAGACCGAAACTCTTAGAAGGCCCTAAGCCCGAAGCCCTAAACCCTAAACCCTAAACCCGAAGCCCTAAACCCTAAACCCTAAGCCCTAAAGCCTAAACCCTAAACCCAAAGCCCTAAGCCCTTTTTCAGCACGGACTGAGGAGCCCTAAGCCCTAAACCCTGAAAAAAGCAGATCGACAGCCGTCGCTCCCTTTCGCGGCTCTTCTTCGAGCTGCCCTTCGACCGTAGCCTGACCGGGCGGTGTAATATAGGGGCCTCAATAATTAGAATAGGGTTGTGGGGGTTCCTTTAAAGGGTTCCTTAAAAGGGTTACTACAACGGTTCCAAACAAAAAGGGGCCTTAATAATTAGAATAGGGTTTTGGGGCCCATGATACTTTACTTATAAGAAGGAACCCCCAAAATAGTTTAGGTAATTATTGAGGCCCCTATATTAAGAGTTTAGGCCTCAGGGTTCCGGTGAGGTGGTAAGGGTTAAGCTATAAAGAGGTAATTTAGGGTTTAGGGTTTTGGGTTTAGGGTTTAGGTTAGTTGCAGTGCACGGAGTTTCGGCACTCACACTCTCTAAGGGCCCATGTACGCAAGTAGTATGTCCTCTGGCCCTAAAAGTACCTATGTAAGGCCATAGTAGGCACCATGCGAGTACATGGGCCCTTGGGGATCCGCCACGACATGGCTCCTGGAGTCTTGCGAACCCCACCCGTGCCTCTCCAGCATGGTGCTCATGCGGCAGCACGGATGCACAGATGCAGAAGCACCTTGCGCTCAAGTTGAAAACTTAAACTGTGCATTAAGCTGCAGTGAAGCCATCATCCGAAAGTTCGTTAAGGCTTACTCACGGCAGGTTCGGCAGTGTCCATCCGTGCATTCGTCCTGGCTGGCTTAGAGCAAACTGCCCCGATGGAGAGGTGATGCCAAGCAGAACTGACTCATGACTTGTTTTACTTTGCTGAGCATGCTTCCATGTTCTCATGAAAAGGTGCACGGGATTCAAGGGCACTGGCTCGCCCAAAAAATGGAAAATGTCCTGGGTAGAGTGGTTGGTAGGGGCAGGGAGGAAAAGGAAGGGGCATGCGTAGGAAGGAGCCAAGCAGGCAAGCAGAGGCAGGCAGGCAGGCGCGGAGGCAGGGAGGGAGGTAGGTAAGACCCTAAACCCTAAACCCTAAACCCTAAACCCTAAACCCTAAACCCCAAACCCTAAACCCTAAAAACTACACACAACAAAAAGTAGACCCCTGGTCGGCGAACACCCTGGTTTGGGGAGGGGCTCACTAGTCAGATATCACTCGAAACACCGACTGAAATCCTGAAATCTAGGGTTTAGGGTTTAGGGTTTAGGGTTTAGGGTCATAGGCCTTGAAGTGAAAGGCCTTCATGCGTTTAAGTTTGCGTCATTATTTCCGTCCTAGCCAGACAGGCAACCGCAGGAAGATGTGCTATGGACAGCAAGACCGACAGATTCCGCGACAAACTGCAAATGAGTACGCATGCATGTACATGTGTAAGTATGTATGGGTGTGTATGTATGTATGCATGTATGTATGTATGCGTGTGTAAATGTGAGTATGTACCTGTACAAGCTAGCATATTTGCATTAATTTCACGGCCGTGATCTCGTCGCATAAATCTTATGACTTTCATGCTTGGCTTTACCTACGCATTAATCGCATTAATTTTGGGGGTTACCTCGTCAAGGGTTTGAGGTGAGGGTTTGGGCTTCGTCTGCAGATTTGAGTGAATTAGCATCTAGTGCGCACGATTGAAAAAAGGCCTCCCCCAATTTTGCGGCTAATTCACCTCCGGGCCTCGTTGGCGAATTTGAGCGAATTAGAAGCCAGTTCGCAATATTTGGATGCCAGCACCCCTCCCCCCCCCACACAAAGGCATCCCCTGAGCCTCCCTGCCGATTTCGTCCGAATTAGCGGCTGGTTGGCACGAGTCGCCCCAGCCCCCGCCCTGGGGGCCTCCCTTTCAAATTTGGGCGAATTAGCGTCTCATTCGCACGATTTGGGTGCCAGCCCCAACCAAGCCTCCCCTGCCGAGTTGGACCAATTACACGTAATTCGCACGATTTCAGTGGCAGCTCCCCCACAACCCCTCCGAAACCTCCATCCCCTTGTTCTCCAAACCTTCACTCGCTCTCGCTCTCTGTCTTTCTTTCGCCATACCCGCTCTCTCTCTCTCGCTCTCTCTCCTCTCCCTCTCTCTCTCTGTTTCCCTCTCTCTCTCTCTGTCTCTCTCTCTCTCTCTCTCTCTCTCTCTTCAGGTTCACTGCTTACGGCGAGGATGCTCTGAAACGCTGCTTTCGCAGTGTCCTCCCCCGCTACGTACCGAGGATCTCTCTGATCAATCCAGTGGCTGCAGGACCCCATTTCAAGGGCCTTGACGGTTACAATGCGGTCTTGGGTTACGCTGTAGTCTCATCATGAAGGGACCTGAAGGAATAGTATGATACAGTATGACTAATGATTCAGGCGGCTACATCAGCCCCACTCTACAACACATGCCAAAACACTCAGCGGAATGATGCAGTATCCTTCTGTCTCGGTTCCGTCAGCAGTAACCGCTTGTAACATCTGAACCCGTCCAAACCGAAAAGCCTCTAGGCCCCACAGGGCCCGAACACTCGAAACACAGTCTGTTGCAAATTGTTGGAGAAACCCTGTGGATGCCACGCCTCGCAAGCCATCGCGGGCGAGCACGGCATGGCTCCCTAAACCGGAAGCATCCTTTGCATATGGCCCCCGCTTACGACATTCTAAGATTGGAAAGCTTCATGGCTTGGAGCTTATCAGCTTCTGCGACGTTTTGGGGTTTAGAGGTCTCTAGAGTGGCGGAATAGTCGTCCAGGGCTGAAGCTGGGGTTAAGTCTTGCCAGCAGCAGGGCTGAACGTTTGTGACACATCAACGGTGGGGAATTGAGCTTATCTTCGCAGTTTTGCACTCCGCATTGGAAGCATCGAGAGAGTGAGGCAAGCTGTGATCTCCAGGGTCAGCATGATTCAAGAAATTTTATCTGACCTTATTATATCTGCTTTAAATATTTGTAATTATACATCACCATATCATACCATATTATATCATATCTACTGTAGCTTCGGCAGTGCTCAAGCCGGACCGTCGCAAACCACGCTGCGGGTAACTGGCCTTGCTCCTCCAGAGTCCGAAACACTCAACATTAAACCCGATACCCTTAACCCCAAACTAAACCATGACACCGAAAACCTGATTGAATCAGACTCTGCATGAGAGTATGCCGGGAAGCTAAGGGTAGCACTTAACTAAACCCTAAACCCTACACCTAAACTGGACTTAGCCGCAAAGATCAGCACTTACCCTCCATGCACCGTAGGACCCTCGGGTTGTCGGGGTTCCTTTCTTTTAGGTTTAGGGTTTAATGTTTAAGGTTTGTTTAAAGTGCAGTATTTAAGGTTTAGGGTGTAGGGTTCAGGGGTTTAGAGTTTAAGTGTTTGCCCGGCATCGCAGGGTTCGTGCGGTTGGGGTTCACAGGGCGAAAGCGCTTGACTTGCAGAACCAGTGACCAGTAGGCCTTATCAATCAGTCTTAGATTCCGGTTTATACAGGTTGTTGTAGGAAACTCTTCTAGGAAGTAACAGATATAAAGGCCGATTTTTGGAAACAGGGTTTGGTGCATACTCTACTATTCTACATAGGGGCTATCAGTCGGCAACTCCTCCTGATTTTTCCGACCCCTATCTGAACCCTGCTTCTTCTCAAACAGATGCCCTAAACCCTAAACCCCCAAACCTGCAAAATCCATGCCTGCTGCGTTGTCACTCCAGGGGATGTCGGAGAAGCCGCTTCCGTGTCGGACCTGTCTTATAGCGCCAGGTTTGGGGGTCTTATTGCGAGATTCCTGGGGGATGCTTAAAGAACCTCCTCTAAACAAGCCCCTATGTTAGGAAACATGCCGATTGAACGGCTTATCTCACAAACACATGTTGAGGTGTTTTGGCTCTAATTTTGTATCTGGGCTCTAGACTCTCCCACTCGGACAAGCCTTATTGGGGTTCTATTGACTGGTGGTTCGGGCTTTTTAATTTACCATTGCTTAGGCCTGAGGATCTGGGCTGTGGGAAATCGGGAAGAGTTGAGTTGATTGTTTGCAAATCTAGAAACGCGACAAGAATCCAGAGCCCCTTAGATCTCGCTGTCTGTAGCTCTCTCTCGCTGTCACTCTCGCTCGCTCTGCGTCCTTACGAACTATGCGGCAGAGCCAGGCTACAAGAGTTCACACCCAAACCCCTATTCTACACAGCCATGGTTCTACGCCTCGGGGCTTTCGCTCTGAGAGCTTGTGAGAATAATAGTAATAATAATAATAATAACAATAATACAGTAATACTTTTTGTCATCCCTGAAGAAATGTGGTTAGATTACCTTGCAATCGTCTGAATCCGTTCCTTTGTCTTGACGATAGAGGTGACTACCGACGCACACCCCGACAAGGTTTACTCAGAACCTCCTCCCACCATGGCGTTCGGCAGCCCTGCATCACGAACTTAGGCATCTGTATGTGTACGTATATGTCTACCCAATGCGTCCAACAACGAGCTACAAGAGCAAACAACATCTTATGCAAAGTACTGCATGGCAGGAAAGATCACAAACACTGCCATCTGAACTACTTGAAAGCAGACCCCCGCAAAACCATGGAACACACACACACATATATGATCCCGG